TCTAAGAGTTTTTTTGGTGGAGTCTTTAGGTTTTCCTTGGTTTAAGATTATATTATCAGCAAAGAGGAACAATTTGACTCACTCTTTTCCTGTTTTTTATTCCTTTTAGTTGTTTCTCTTGCCTAATTGCTCTGGTTAGAACTTCCAGTTCTATGTTAAATAGGACAGGTGAAAGTGTACATCTTTGTGAAGGAACTTAAGGAACTGATTTTACTGTTTTTGTTGGTTTTCTTGTTAAGGAACTTAAGATTGGATTAATTAGGTAAAAAAATTATAGTCAAATATAACACATATTGTCTACAGAATTCAAAGAGGTCTACCAAAGACCCCTAAAAATTGAGTGCAAGATGTAACAACTTCTCTTAAATTATTTTACTGTAATAAAGTACATGACTTGTAATTCACCATTTTAACCATATTAAAGGATACAATTTAGTGACACTTAGTACATTCACATGTTATACAACCATCACCACTATTTAGTTCCATAACATTTTATATATCTCAAAGTATTTTCCAATTTTCTTCATGATTTTTAAAATTTGAAACATATGCTGTTTAAGAGTGTGTTGTTTCATCTTTATATATTTGTAAATTTTGTAGTTTTCTTTCTGATCTTATTTCTGATTACATTTGACTGTGATCCATAAAGATATTTTATAGTATTTTAACCTTTTAAAATTTATTGAGACTTGTATTTTGACCTCATATGTAGTATATTCTGAAGAATATTGCATTTGCACTTGACAGGAATAAGTATTCTGCTGTTGTTGGATGACATGTTATATATATGCATATTTCTGTTGGGCCTTATTAGGTTTTAGTACTGTTCAAATTCTATGTTTTCTTAATAAACTTGGCTAGTTGTTTTATCATTTATTAAAGTAGATTATTGAAGTCTCCAACTATTGTTGTAGAATTGTCTATTTCTCTCTTCAATTCTGTCAGTGTTTCTCACATTCATATATCAAAATACACTTTTATATATTCACAGTGGGGTCACCGTTTTAAGTTATATATAAATGTTATATTTGCTTATAATTGCTATATCTTCATAATGGGTTGACCTTTTTATCAATATATAATGCTTGTCTTTGTCCCTTGTTATGACTTTCAAGTTAAAGTCAATTTTATCATAGAATAGTCACCCGAACTCTCTTTTGGCTACTATATCCATCAAATGTCTTTTTCTGTCTTTCACTCTCAAATTATTTGTGTCACTGAATCTAAAGTGAGACATTTTTAAATAGCATGTAATTGGATAATTAAAAATTTCTTCCACTCTCTGCCTTTTAATTATAATCTAATCTATATTTATTTGAATTAGTTACATATAAGAACCGCTATTTTGCTATTTGTTTCCTATGTGTCTTATGTTGTTTCTATTCTTCATTTCCTCTCTTACTGCCTTCTCTTGTGTTTACTTGATTTTTTTTGTTATTAATCATTTTCATTCCCTTTTTATTTTTGCATATATTTTTCGTTTTTATCTTAGGAGTTTCTATGGATATTACAAATAACACATTAAGCTTATAACAATCAAGTTTGAATTGATATGAAGTTAACTTCAATACTATACAAAACTCTGCACTCAAATGGGATTGGAGGTACTACACAAAACCTTTAGTATTCCCTTAGTTTGGTGTTTTGTCACTTATCACATCTGTATTCATTGTGTGCCCAATAATTTCAATTTGTTGTTATTTTATGCTTTAAAAATCATATTGAAAATTAAAAGTAGATGTACAAATCTAAACTACAATAACACTGCCTCTTATATTTGTCCAAGTGGTTTCCTTTACTGGAGATCTTTATTTCTTCAGATGGTTTCAAGTTACTGTTTCTTGTCTTTTCATTTCAGTCTCCCTTTATCATTATTTTGTAGTACAGGTCTCTTGGTAACAAACTTCCCCAGCTTTTGTTTACCTACAAATATCTTAATTTCTTACTCATTTTAAAGAAAACTTTGTCAGATATAAAATTCTTCGTTGACAGTTTATTTCAGCACTTTAAATATACCATCCGACTGGCTTCTGTTATCCATGGTTTCCAATGATAAATTGACTATTAATCTTATTAAGGAATCCTTGCACATGATGAGTCATTTCTATCTTGCTACTTTCAAAATTTTCTCTTTGTCTTTATCTTTGCACAGTTTGATTACAGTGTGTTTTGTTGTGAATTTCTTTAGGTTTATTATGTTGAAATTTGTTGAGTTCATGAATGTGTAGATTCACATCTTTCATCTAATTTCATGTTTTCAGACATTATTTTTCAAATATTCTTTGTACTCTTTTTGCCTCTCTTTTCTCTCTCAGACTCCTATAATGCATATATTTGTCTGCTTGATTGTGTCTTATTGGTCCCTTAAATCTATTCATTTTTCTTTATTCTTTTTTATTTCAGCTCTTCATACTGGATCATTTTTATTGTCCTATATTTAACTGCTACTTTCTTTTATGTGATCAAACCTGCCTGTAAACACCACCTCTTCTAGTGATTTTTTAAAATTTCAGTTTTTGTAATTTTCTACTCCAGAGTTTCTATTTGGCTTCTGTTTATAATTTTCATCTATTTATTTTTATTTTATATTTTGTGAGAAATCCTTCCCTTGTTTTTCTTTAGTTGTTGTCCATGGTCTCTCTTAGCTCCTTGAATTTAGATGTGGTTATGAAACATGCTTTAGACACTCAATGGGAATGGGAGTTATGTGTGACACTTCTAGGCCTCTAAGATCCAATGTACAAGGGAAAGGGACAAACCTCACAGAATAATGAGTCGAAGTGTGTGGAGAACAATACACAAAGGAACTGTGTTCAAGGAGAAGAATTTATCTGTTTATGGAACATTCTCCTCCATCAGGGTAATGGGATTGTAAAGTGTCTGCACAGTATATTTCAGAATTATGCACACTCTAATCTGTTTATTTCCTACCTCTCCTTTTTAGGACAAAGATTAATTTTTGAGGTCACCTTCTTACCATTTCTCTCTCTTTTTTTTTTTATATCAGGAGTATGCAGGCCAAAAAATCATGTCTTTTTAGTTCCTTTTTTTGTTGTTGTTTTCATTCCAAGGCAGATGTCATGATGTTTAGTGGTGGGAATAGGTAACATTCTGATCAGGTAGCAGTGCTCTGTGAAATGGGAGACCAGTACTGAATAAGCTCTGCACCTGAGGTATTCTCCAAATAAATTGGGTGGCTTGGCAGTTCACAATTTTGCAAGTCAGGTAAAGCCAGTTTTGAATGTAATATAGAATGCCATGTATCATCTCCTAAAGACTATCATGCATCATACAGAAGGCTTTCTCTGCAAACTTGACGCTATGACTAGATGGGACTTTTAGGCTGTCCCCTTTGAGTATATTTTAAATGCAGGAAAGAGTGATCCAAATATTGGGGACTAGAAGCTTAGATTGGGGTTATTATTGTGGCTAATTACAATTATATTCCAGCTTTCCTTTGGTGTACGTGTTAAGATTGCCTTCCCTTTCTATGTGAGTGGAAATGATGTACATCTTTTAGCAGTCATTTCATTATTCACTATCATCTTATTTTCCTACCAAAATAATTGTGAAAACAAATGTTGAAGTGAGCATCTATCAGACTTATTCTTTGTATGATATGCATTGAATATTTGGTGTAATCAAGAAATACACTTTTGTAGCATTAAAACAATAAGGATTGATTTATTTTGCACAGCATCTTAAGGTAATACTGGCATTTATAATATTTAAGGGTGAAATCTATTATCCAATAAATGCATCCAAATAAAGTTCTCAGAAAGGTATGGTAAAGGAGCTGGTGGTGAGCAATGAATATATTAAAAAAACAGAATCAAAAATAAATACTGCCAAAATTATGGCTTAAAAGGAGAAAATAAACATTGGAAATCTTGATAATATAAAAATAAGAACATAACATCTAACTAACATGAGATTGAGGAATAGCAAGAGAGTTCCTATCTTAATTTTTTTTTTTACAGGAAGTGAAATAATGTATACATTAAACATGTTGCTAAAAATAGCTAACTTTATAATATTTAAGATAATATCTCTTGTGTTGATAAAACATTCATTTAGAGTTTGGAAATTATTTGTTTTTAATTAAGTTCCCCTTCTGTTAATTTCCTATGAAGTAAAACTTAAATAGAATTTAATTTAATTTTTACTGTAATGACATGTGTACTGTATTTCAGGTCTTATAAGACCATGTTTATCCATTCCTTAGTCTTTCCACCTGTCTACAGGTCTGCTTTCTGCCCATCTGTCCTTCTACTTGTATATCCATCTAACTATACATAGTGATCTAGAGATATGCCTGAAATGTCATTCATATTAAACTTATAGGTGGTATAATTTATAGTAATACTTTTTTAGATGTTTGTACTTTTATGTATTGAATACCTTTTGTCTTTTTTTTTTTTTTTCAAGACTATAAAATTTGAAATCTGAAAATAAAAGACAAATTTCTTGACCTCAAGTACCTTACAGAAGTTACATAGTATCACAAGTTCCGGTCATGGTTTAGGTTCTCTTCCATAATTTTAACATGCTGGAAAAAGAGATTTTGCAGGGAAGCAGTAAGATCTGTTAGACAGGAACCAGATCTAGTGTTTTTTTTTTTTTTTTTTTTGAGACAGAGTCTCGCTCTGTCGCCCAGGCTGGAGTGCAGTGGCAGGATCTCGGCTCACTGCAAGCTCCGCCTCCCGGGTTCACGCCATTCTCCGGCCTCAGCCTCCCGAGTAGCTGAGACTACAGGCGCCCGCCACCTCGCCCGGCTAGCTTTTTGTATTTTTTAGTAGAGACGGGGTTTCACCCTGTTAGCCAGGATGGTCTCGATCTCCTGACCTCGTGATCCGCCCGTCTCGGCCTCCCAAAGTGCTGGGATTACAGGCTTGAGCCACCGCGCCCGGCCCAGATCTAGTGTTTTATGGTTTGATAGAATACATGGAAATAATATGAGAAGAGACGGTGGGGGGAGAGGTAGAAGCATGTTTGAAACCACATAGTAATTCAGACCTTGAAAATAACTATTCTCTAAGGTTTCAAGTTCTCTTCACTTCACACCTAATTTCTCAGTGAATACATCCATATTTTGAGTTATTGGACTCAGGAAATCAAATTATTACTAGTCTGGTGATTAAATTGCTCTATCCATCTGCTAGTATATTGTCATTATTCTTTGAGCTTTGCTTGATGATAACAAAAATTATAAGTCACTTGTATTAAATCCAGGCAATGATTGTATAAAATCTTGTAGGAAAAAAATGAATGCTTGAACTTGTTTTTTTTCCTGTCTTAAAAGCAAAACAAAATATGAAATGCAATATAATCAAGTTTAATATTGGAGTATATTTTCAGAAATGGTGTTGTCCAAAGATGTCTCCACACAGCTGGACTTTTTCTTGGATGCTCTTTTGGTTGACATTGAATCCACAGAGATTTCTGGCTTCATGGATGGCCAAACACTGGTAAGGTCATGATGTTCATTTAATTAGTGTGACTGAGTCTACTCCCAGAATAATTTTAATGTTTTAAGTGCACTTGTCAATCTTCTTTATTCACTAAGAATCTTTGTTATTTTAGGATAGATTATTTCTAAAGTTACAGAACAATAATTGTGGTTATCATCTAAAAAAGTTATTCTAAGTTATTTGTATGATATACACAAAATGATATGGCTGAAATAAAAAATATGGTGAAGTTATATTAGAATCTTATTCTCCTTTGCTTGCTGTATCATTGTTAAATAATATGAAAAGCAGCCTCATTGTAAAACCAGCCTTTCCACTTTATTAATATAAACAGAATTAAGCTTTATTTAAAAAAATCTTTAAAATATTAAATATTTAACTACTTAATATCTTTAAAATATTAAAATATTATTTGAATGCTTCCTATTTATACAAAGTAACATGTAGAAGGTCTTTCCCCTCAAAGCATTTGCCATCTAGCACTGTTTCTCCACGTAAATAACACAAACATGCTTTTTTCAAGCTCTCATAGTATTTTGTATCTTTTTTCAGAGTTTATTCACTCTTCATGGTGTACTTATTTTTTAAATAATTTATTTAATGTCCACCTTTACGGCTAGACTCTAAACCCCATGTGGATGAAAAGAGTGTACCTTTTGTTAGTGTCATATTCCTAGTGCCTAACAGAGTGATGAGCACATCACTGACATTCTGCATAGAATTAATTACTGACTCATGCAGACTGTGCGAATTGTTACAAGAGGTACAATCTAAAGAAAGAGTATTAGGGAGGTATACATTACTGTGTGGATTCTGTGTTCATTTGGAAAAGTTGGTTCAGATTTAAATGACTTGAAATTGGAAAAGAGAGAGTGGATAGGCCAAAAAAGAATAGCATGTTCAATGTTTTGAGGCAACTCAGGAGGAATAAATATTTATGAAACAGTGAATTATTCAGGACCACTAGAACCTGTGTTAGTCAGGAAGTGGGAGTGTGGGGTGGCAGTGAGACCTTGAAAAGAACACCTGAGTCAGATTATTAGAAAACTTAAGGAATTTAAAGTTTTTATTTAATGTTGAGAAATTTGGGGGGATTGTATAATTTTGGTTAAGTGGCTAAAATAAATTACATTTTAGTCATATATCTTCCCAATTTAAAGAAAGAAAACATTGTTTAAAGGCAAAATAAACTTTTTTAAGATCAGAAACTGTAAGTTTTAGCCTTGGTAAGTAGAGTAACTTCCATAGTTCCTAGCATGTTTTAGGCATTGGGCATATATTCCTGATTAGATGTTCATTTGAATTTGTTAACTGAAATAATATTCTGAAAGTGATGAAGTGATTCGTGCTTTGTACAACAGGTAGATAAGATATAGGTAACTAAGATAGATAAGAAGACAATAATTTAACAGTCATTAGATGAATAAAAATTAATATATACACATGAACACAAAAACAATGCACACACTTAACCACACACATATAGACAGGAATATACACAGACATACCCACAGAAGTACACATTTGCACATACAAGCACATGCACACGTACACAAACACACAGACATCCACACACATATGTGAGAAAGACAATAGGTAAAATATTAGGATCATGCTGTAGAAAACACAGACAAAACTCACAGAATATCAAGGAAGATAATATCAGAAGGGCAGACAAAGAACAGATGGAAGATAATTTGCAACAAGTTAAAAAATAATGAGTTCATTCTGTATAATGAAGGGTTCATCCTAAGCAGATTATCACATTGTAGGCAGATTTCCCAAACTCATATTGTGCATTGCCAAATACTTACCCATCACACACTACCTACACTAGAATCTGGGCCTGCGGACAGTTGGCATATATTTACCAAATATTATAATGTTTACTTTTTCCCTTACAGAATCAAATGCCTGTTTTAAAGAAAAGGAAAAATATAGAAAAACAAGAAACACAATCCATTGCCAGAACCCAACATTAAGTATACTAACAGTTGGGTTTTAAAAACATTTTCATTCTAATTTTTAAATCTATACAACAGGTGTTTCATGCCAACTTGTTGGGGCAGTGCTCTCTGAGGTGGGCGGCTTCACAAGTGTGGTCCGCTCCAGGTTTTAGAATTTGCCACTTGTTAGAGCCCGGTCAGCCCGAGGTGAAGGAGCTAAAAACGGGAGGAAAATGGCGGCCAAGGCCGCACCGACGGAGACAGCAGCGTACGCAGGGAGTGGGGCCCCGGCCAGGCCGGGCTGGGAATAGAATCTGTCCCCAGCAGCGAGGCTGGCACTGATCCCCTCCCAGTCATGGCCACTGAAGTGTCTGTGCCCAACCGTGAGGCCGCCGCCCAGGAGCCCGCTCCTAAGGCAATGCCGCTGCTGTCGCTGCGGGGAGCTTGCCCGCAGCCTGAAGGCAGAGGGGCCGGAGCTGGAGGCTGAGGGGAAGCTGCCGGAGAGGGTGACGGAGGCAGCCACGCCTCTCAAGAGTCTGACCTTACCCGCCTTTGCCTGCCTCGCCTCCGAAGCATCCCAGCTCCTGAGGAGTGCGAGGAGACTCGGTATGCCTCCTGCTGCAGCACGTGGGGACTCGTGCCTCCGTCGGGCAGGGGCGGCGAGGGGGGGACTTCTTGGTGTCGCAGCTGACCCCGGGCTCGGAGGTGCAGGTCACGCTGCATTGAGGATGTGTTCATCTTGTCGTCCTTCCTCGGGTAGACGCTCTTCTCCAGGGTCCTCGTGGATCTGTTCAAAAGAGACCATGAAACATTTGGTGCCATAGCCCAACTTTTGGTGGGAAACATATACAGCTCTTCTGGTGATGCTGTTTGGGTTCGCATCCCTGTGACAGTATTTCCCAAAAGGGACTATAAAGATAACCCGTAGCCATGTAGCTTCAACCTCATACATTCCAAGAAGGGACGGAAGTCAAGTGTGAAGTGAATGGTACTGTTCCCAGTGACCTTTTTCCTGCCCTACCTCGTGTGCTAAGCTTGCCTGAAAGCCTGTGGACTTCCAAAACATCACCTCTTTCCCATGAAGGACCCCCTTATCCTCCCTGCTCTATCAGAATCCATCTAATCAATCAGTACCTCAGCCCCCTCCTCAGAAAATTAAGCTACCCAAACGAAGATATTTGGGGAAGAACCCACTTCAATAATCCCATTAAACTGTGACCTAGGCAAGTCGTATGTGATAAATGTTTAAAAAATGCTGTTGTTGAAAATAAAATTAGAAAAGGTAGTAATGCAAGTGACTGCTAAATATGACAGTAAAAAACGGAGATATGAAAATGTACCTACTGTGAACAAAAAAGTAAAAACTGGCCATAAAGTGGATGGAAAAACCCAAAATGAAAGCCAGAGAAGAAATTCTGTGGTTATGGTTTCAAATACTGCTCACAGAAGAGGCAGAGTAGTAAATGTTTCTGCTCAGGTAGATAGGTCAAAAGCTCAGTTAAGTACTAAAAATCTGCTCCTAGAGTAAGAACATGGATCATGCAAAAGCTCAGGGAACTGTCAAAAATTGCCAAGGAAAAGGCATAAGAGAAGCAAACTGAAGCCTCTACTCCAAAAATGCACATTCGAAAGTCCATTTCATGGGTCAATATCAGAATCCTAGTCAGGTGCCCTTCTGCCCAGGTTTCCTTTAAAAACACAGAGGTGCAGGAATGAAGAAAATGACTCTTCTCTGAAGACAGGACTCGAGGAAGTGTGGAGTGCAGAGATGGTCCCCAACTCCAGTCTTGCTGCACCTCTATGCGCTCACCAGGTAAAGGCCTTCTGAAAATCAGAGTCCCTGAAAAGGCCGGGAAGAGGCCAGCAGTGAGAGGTTCAGGACCCAACTGAAATGCATGCTCCTGGTGAACTGGATGAACCATAGACATTGGACAAAAAGGGCAGCAAAAGCATTATCTTTGGACTTAAACCAAAAGATATCTGACACTTCCCATGCATCAGTTTTCCTATTGATAGCATAGATGATTTGAAATCATCCAACTCTGAATGTAGCTCCTCGGAAAGCTTTCATTTTCCTCCAGGCAGTATGCATGCACCTTCCAAATCCTTCACTTCCTTCTCGTCAAAGGAAGAGGAAAATTTCAGTAATTCCTTGAAAATGAATCTTCCAAAATTGTCTCTAAATGCATCATACCACATGGCAGGACCATATGTGTTGGGGACATTGTTTGGGCCAAGATACATGACTTCCCTTGGTGCCAGCCCCTGTTCTTACTAAAGATAACGGCCTTTTAGTCCTATAGGAGGACTGTATTTTATGGTTCAATTCTCCAGCATTTTTTTTCTCTCTTCTGTACCTTTCTCACTTTTTAGAAAACTTCCAGACACACTTGAATAAGAAGAGAAGGGGCCTGTATTGCAAGGCTATTACAGAGGCAGCTAAAACTGCCAAGCAACTGACCTCTGAAGTAAAGGCTCTGTTGACTGTTTGAAACATAAACACAGTAAGGTAGGCAAGACCATTGGAAGTCGTCATAGATTTTCAGTCTGTTTAGGAATAATTTCTACTACATAACTTGGCCAAATTGGAGAGAGATTGCACTGAATTGGCTATTTTAAAAAATACTTACCTTATAGCCATTTTTAGACTCAGAAGCTTAAACTGAACATGTAATCAAAATTTTGTCTTAAGGGAGTGAGATTTTAGGAATATTTTTCAGTTTTGAAGTCTAAAACCATTCCAAGGCATAGAAACCATAGCCTCAAATTGAAATTGAATTTTCGTGAGGACTGTTAATTGTTATTTGTACCTAATACCATGTGTATGTGTGTGTGTCTATGTAAAGTATAGCCTGTGACTATGGAACATGGACACAGGCTGCATATTGGGGATTGCTGTAAGGGCTGGTGAGGTGCAGGAATAGTGTGGATATTTAATGACTACTTATTTTTAATGTATTTTTATTTCAGTAGCTTGAGGGGTACAATTGGTTTTTGGTTAAATGGATGAACTGTGTAGTGGTGAAGTCTAGCATTTTATTGTGCTTGTCACCTGATTAGTGTACATCAAACTGTTGGGGTAATCAGATCCAACACCAGGTCGTGGGGGCAACAAAGTTAGGCAGAGTCAAGGAATTGAGAAAAAAGACAGTTTGAGAAGTAAAGTGGGACCAGGGGGCCATCACAATTGTGGAGGCTGCGAAGGCCCCAAGCTCTGGGAGTTCATGCTATTTATTGGTAATCCAACAAACAAACAGGTGGTGAGAATGTGGTGGTCAAAAGGGCAGGTGCACGATCTACAGCTGTGATGGTTTAGCATTTATATGGAACATGTTCTGCTACTTGAGATAATGGGACAATTGATCCAGGAGCCTAGGAGGGCTAGAAGCAAGGAGCCAGCAAGTCTAGACACATTCCAGAGGACATTATGCAAGCCCTGCCTTAACTTTCTTCCCAACACTCAGCTTTTTCCCAACATCAAACCCAACATGCAGTTTTTCAGTTCTCATTCCCTACCACCTTACCCCCTTCTGAGTCTCCAGTATCCATTATACCAGTCTATATGTCCTTGCATACCCATAACTTAACTCCCACTTATGAGTGAGAACATGCTGAATCTGGTTTTTGATTCATGAATTACTTCATTTATAATAATGTCCTCAAGTTCCATCCAAGTTGTGCAAAGACATTATTTCATTCTTTTTTATAGCTGAACAGTATTTCATGGTGTGTGTGTGTGTGTGTGTGTGTGTGTGTATGTATATATATACACACATCACATATTATTTATCCAGTCATCGGTTGATGGGCACTTAGGTTGGTTTTGTATCTTTGCAATTATGAATCACGCTGTGATAAACAAACATGTGCTGGTGGTGTCTTTTTGATACAGTGGCTTCTTTTCCTTTGGGTAGATAATAGTGGGATTGCTGGATCAAATGGTAGGTCTACTTTTAGTTCTTTGAGAAATTTCAATACGGTTTTCCATAGAGGTTGTGCTAATTTACATTCCCACAAACTGCGTGGAAGCATTCCTTTTTCCTCACATCAACACTAACATCTATTGTTTTTTAACTTTTTAGTAATGGCCATTCTAGTTGGGGTAAGGTGGTATTTTAACGCTTTAATTTGCATTTCCCTGATGATTATTGATGTTGAGGAGTTTTTTCATGTTTGTTGGCAATTTGTATATCTTCTTTTGAGGAATCTCTAGTCATGTTCCTTGCCTACTTTTAAATGGGATTATTTTGTTTTTCTCTTACTGATTTGTTTGAGATCCTTATAAGTTCTGGATATTTGTCCTTTGTCGGATACATTGTTTACAAACATTTTCTCCCATTCTGTGGGTTTTCTGTTTACTCTGATGATTTTTTTTTCTTTTTCTATTTTTTTTTTTGCTATACAAAAGCTTTTGTTTAATAGGCCCCATTTACTTATTTTTGTTGCCTTTGCTTTTGGGGTCTTACTCATAAATTCTTTGCCTAGGCCAATGTCCAGAAGAGTTTTTCCTAGGTTTTCATCTAGAATTTTTATGGTTTTAGATCCTAAATTTAGATCTTTAACCCATCTTTAGTTAATTTTTTATGTGGTGAGAGATAAAGATCCAGTTTCATTCTTCAATATGTGGCTATCCAATTTTCCCAGCACTGTTTATTGAATATAGTATCCTTTTCCCAGGTTATAATATTGTATGCTTTGCCAAAGATCAGCCAGTTGTAGGTATTTGGCTTTATTTATTGGTACTCTATTATGTTCCATAGGTCTATGTAACTACTTTTATACCAGTACCATGCTGTCTTGGTTACTGTAGCCTTGTAGTATAACTTGAAGTTGGGTCATGTTATGCCTCTAGATTTCTTCTTTTTGCTTAGGATTTTTTTGGCTATTTAGGCTCATTTTTGGCTCCAGATGAATTTTGGGATTGTTTTTCTAAATCTGTGAAAAATACGATTGTTATTTAACATTTTTATTAGAATTGCATGAATCTGTATATTGCTTTGGGAAGTATGGTCATTTTCACAATATTGATTCCCCCAATTTATGACCATGGGATGTATTTCCATATGTTTGTGTCATCTATGATTCTCTCAGCAGTGTTTTGAAGTTCTCCTTATAGAGATTGTTCATCTCCTTAGTTAAGCATATTCCTAGGTATTTTATTTTTTTCTAAATATTGTAAAAGGGATTGAGTACTTGATTTGAATCTCAGCTATGTCATAGTTGGTGTATAGCAGTGCTACTAATTTGTACATTTATTTTGTAACCAGAGACTTTCGTGAAATCATTGATCAGATCTAGGAGTCTTTTGGAGAAGTCTTTAGGGTTTCTAGTTACAAGATCATATCATCAGCAAACAGAGTTTGACTTTCTCTTTCCCAATTCTGAAGTCCTTTCTTTATTTCTTTTTCCTGATAGCTCTGGCTAGGACTTCCAGTGCTATGTTGAATAGAAGTGGTGAAAGTGGGCATCCTTGTCTTGTTCTGGTTCTTAGGGGGAATTCTTTCAACTTTTCTATGTTCAGTATGATGTAGGCTGTGAGTTTTTTAATATGGATTTTATTATCTTCAGGTGTGTTCTTTCTGTGCCTAGTTTGCTGAGGATTTTTATCACAAAACAATGCAGGATTTTATTGAATGCTTTTTCTGCATCTACTGAAGTGATCATATGGTTTTTGGTTTTAATTCTGTTTGTATAATGTACTTAATTTATTATCTTGTGTATATTGAATCAGCCATGCATCCCTGGAATGAAACCTACTTGATTATGAAGAATTACTTTTTTGATGTGCTGCTGGATTTAGTTAACTAGTATTTTGTTGAGGATTTTTGCATCTATATTTATCAGGGATATTGGTTTGTAGTTTCCATTTTTTGTTATCTCCTTTCCTGGCTTAGTATCAAGGTGATACTGGCTTCATAGAATGAGTTAGGGAAGATTCCATCCTTTTCAATCTTTTGGAATAGTTTCAGTAGAATTGGTACCAGTTCTTCTTTGAATGTGTGGTAGAATTTGGCTGTGAACCCATCTGGCCCTGGGCTTTTTGTGTGTGTGTTGGCAGTTTGTTTTTTCAATTACTGATTTGCTCTCACTGCTTGTTATTTGTCTCTTCAGGATTTCTATTTCTTTCTGATTCCAGCTAAAGAGGTTCTAAATTTATCCATTCCTGCTAGATTTTCTAGTTTTGCGTAGAGGTGTTTATGTATACTTGAATGACCTTTTGTATTTCTGTGGTGTCAGTTGTAATGTGTCCATTTTTATTTGTTGCGGGAAGTCAGGGACTCTGATGGGAGGGACTGGCTGAAGCCATAGCAGAAGAACATAAATTGTGAAGATTTCATGGACATTTATTAGTTCCTCAAATTAATGCTTTTATAATTTCTTACGCCTGCCTTTACTGCAGTCTCTGAACATAAATTGTGAAGATTTCATGGACACGTATCACTTCCCCAGTCAATACCCTTGTGATTTCCTATGCCTATCTTTACTTTAATGTTGTAATCCCATCATCTTCATAAGCTGAGGAGTATGTATGTCGCCCCAGGACTCTGTGATAATTGCATTAACTGTGCGAATTGTTTGTAGAGCATGTGTGTTTGAACAATATGAAATCTGTGCACCTTGAAAAAAGAACAGGATAACAGCAATGTTCAGGGAACAAGGGAGATAACCTCAAACTCTGACTGCCAGTGAGCCGGGTGGAACAGAGCCATATTTCTCTTCTTTCAAAAGCAAATTGGAGAAATATCGCTGAATTCTTTTTCTCAGCAAGGAACATTCCTGAGAAAGAGAATGCATCCCTGAGGGGAGGCCTCTAAAATGGCCACTTTGGGGGCAGCTGCCTTTTACGGTCATAAACAAAGGGATGAAATAAGCCCCGGTCTCCCGTAGCACTCCCAGGCTTATTAGGATGAGGAAATTCCTGCCTAATACATTTTGGTTAGACTGGTTGTCTGTTCTCAAACCCTGTCTCCTGGTAAGATGTTATCCATGACAATGCATGCCCGAAAGTTCATTAGCAATTTTAACGTCGCCCCATCCTGTGGTCCTGTAATCTTGCTCTGCCTCCATTTGCTTTGTGATATTTTATTACCTTTTGAAGCATGTGATCTCTGTGACCCACACCCTATTCGTACACTCCCTCTCCTTTTGAAAATCATTAATAAAACTTGTTGGTTTTACAGCTCAGGGAACATCACAGAACCTGCCGACATGTGATGTCTCCCCTGGACACCCAGCTTTAAAATTTCTGTCTTTTGTACTCTTTACCTTTATTTCTCAGACCACCCAATGCTTAGGGAAATAGAAAAGAACCCACGTTGAATATCAGGGGTGGGGTTTCCCCGATATCTATTTCTCATTGAGCTTATTTGAATATCTCTTCTATTCTTGGTTAACCTAGCCTAGTAGTCTATCAATTTTGTTTATCCTTTCAGAGAACCAGCTTTTTGTTTCATTGATCTTTTGTATTTTTTTGTTTCAATTTCATTTAGTTCTGCTGTTATCTTTGAT